CAAACTTGTTCAGCATCATAGCAACAAGGCTCCTCTGATAGACTGTTGGTGGCTGGGCATGAGGTGCACTGGCCGGGAATCAAACCCACATCTTCCAAGTGGAAGATGAGAATTCTTCCACTACAGCACCAATGCCACCATTACTGAGTAATAATGACTAGTTAGCTGTTAGCATTGTTGTTAGTATTAGTTGTCATCCAGTTGAACTGTTAGTATGTTACTTGCTAATTATATTGCTCTGTCATAAAAGTTAACGCTTGAGTTACCTCCATGATTTCATTTTTATTTTACTTTTTATGGAATTTTACATAATAACAAAGGATGTAGTGAGATCCTAAATCTTCAGAATGATTGAATGCTAAACTGGAAGAAGATTATCATTATTCAGTAAAGAGCATTAAGGATAGTGAAAGCATGTTCTCTCTCTCTTCCCTTATATAGGAAAAGGACATTTTTCTCTATGTTAAAGAAGAATAAATCCATGAATTTATTTATAAGCCTAGCTTGGTGTCTACACTACTTATTGTAATTATACATGAATAACAGCATTCAATTACCAAAGTAATTATAAATATTCAGATGTATGGAATCAAGTTAATAGAATTATAGTTTTCCCAAGTCCTTTATCTATGAGAGCTTCATTATCTATAAATGTGCTCATCTCCCAACAACCAACCAGACTTAGAGCTTTCTAGAGAAATTTCTCATGACTGATAAACTTGGAAAATTCACAGTCCACTTAAATAATGAGAGAATAAGTCCTTGCTCTAAACCCAGGGGAAAACCAACAGGTTCATTATAAAAATATCCTCTGGCGGTTGATCACCAGTCTCCATCTTCTGTATATGTTTCCTGTCTCTTTTGTTTTTTAATCTAAAAATGATTGTCATGTATATTCCTGGAGGTAAAACGATAATCCCTATATAACCAGACTCTCACTGTGTCTGCAGCTCATTGAAGAGGTCCCTCCTCAGCTAGAACTGGTAGGTTAAATAGCAGTGCTAACAGAATATTGTAATTGTGTGCACTAATAAAAGATGAGACATTTTACATAAAACTTGTAGCTGAATGAAAAATATATTATTCTGATCATGAGGGCAACAGTATAAAAGTAATCTTGGTCAGCTAGTATCTGGACAACTGCATCCAATCCCAACACGAAGCAGAGGAGCCACTCCGTAACTGACAAAGTAATGGCATCATATCTTGCTCTGAGGGGCCAGTTTTATAGTTGACCTTGAGCTTTTGGAATATAAACAGGGATTCGTTTAATCCACAGGGCAAAAAAGGAAAAAAATAGCTTGGGAAATGTATTGTAATGAAAAAATTAGGCTGTTCTTTGGCTAAGTTTAGCATCTGTGATAAGACCGAAATTTAATAAAACTTCAGATCACAAAATGGGAAATATTGACTTATTTTAATATTAGTTAACTTAGCTTCAATTTTATGTTCCTAAATTGAGTATTTATTTTAATTCAGAAAACACTTAAGAAATGCCAAGTGAGATAAAATTGTTACAATTAAGTCAATTTCTTTTTAATTTTCCCTGAAGTTTACATTTATTTTCTTGATATATATAGTTTTAGTCAATACAGTTATCTAATTGTACTGCTAATATATTCATTTTTTATACCTTTGCAACCCAAGGACTATTCTCTATGTTTCCAAAACCAGTGGCCCTCTCCTACTCACATGTAAAAAATTATTTTAATATGTTTTAACTTTTTCAATGTATGAGAAAAAACCCTATATGCACTTAAAAATAATGTTTAGGTTTTGTTTATTAAATATAAAAGTATATTATTTTAATCGGGAAAATAGGTATAGTAGTTATTTTGATAACTAATCTGAGTTTTCACTTTCCAAGCATTTTCTTTCGTGATAAGGGAACATTACTTGTGGATTGTCTAGTCCATATATGGATTCACATTTTCATGAAAAAGAAAACATAACAAACACTGATGATGACTAGAAATGGTGTGGCCCTTATTTTTAACAAAAACTTAAAAAAATGTCAGCTACACATTTACACATATACTAACTGTGCTATTTAAGCACTTTTGTGGAAATGCCTCTGTCTTTGAATATAGATATACAGTATTGAACACCTACACATAGCTTCCTTCTTGCCCCCAAGCAAGCCATTACAGTTGAAAGGAGTTAAGTAATTTTTTATCTTTTAGTCACATGTGTGGCATTAAAAGACGTAAGTCCCCAATCACAGGGCATTCATCTCATTCTCAGACATCATATCTGCTAAACAAACCACACCCTACTTTATCCAATTTATTCCATTATTCTTCATTCCTTTTTAGTTCACTGTCAGTTCATTGGAGTCCAGGTGGAGCAGTGGTTAAGTGTTTGGCTGCTAACCAAAAGGTCAGCAGTTTGAATCCACCAGCAATTCCTTGAAAACCTTATGGGGCAGTTCTACTCTGTCCTATATGGTCGCTATGAATTGGCATCTACTGGATGGCAATTTTTTTTTTTTTTTTTGTCAGTTCATTATTAGTCAAATGTTGTGTTGTTTTTTGTTAGGTGTGATCTAGTCAGTTCCAATTCACAGAAACCATATTATGTACAACAGAAAGAAACACTGCCTAGTCTCACATCATCCTCACAATTGCCGGTTAGTCAAATTTATGCTATTAAATATTTAATTTTCTCTTTGAGGTTAAACTGCAGCTTAAATTGAGAAAACTACTTTTGTTTTTCTTAATAAAAATGTATTTTTTAGACCTTAAATTTTAATGAATGACTTCATCTATCATAACAAATTTGAATCCATGTACATGTAGACTTAGTTGGAAATTTTTTGATATATATGCTTGTAAAAATTCAAAAAATTCTGAGGTAATAAATACCCTTTTCTGTTTCTAATTTTCAGATTTTATAATTTTAAACTATGAAATTACTTTTGTGAGTAACAGATTTTCTCATGTTAATATTTTGAGATTGAAGACTTTATAGTTTTGATAACAATTTTGCAACTAGTATGTAGACTTGATTTAGTACATAAATAAGGATATCAATGATGATGACAATAATTCTTTATACAGAACATAACTAGGTAATTATATCAATTATATTTAATAAAGGGAAATGTTTTTATTAACACCAATACTTCTTTACCAGTTTTCAGGAGTAAAATTCTTCTTTGATCCCCTTAGTCTGTGCATTCTCATAATTATTAGAAAGTGAGATAATGTTAAAGAATAGAAATTCGTAAAGGCACATACATAGCATATATACATGTACAATGAAATATGAAATATACCCACATGTATTACCCTTTAAAGCCTCATAACATTCTATAAGGTTGAAGAGTAGATATTATTTTATTTTTACAGAAAAGCAAATCAGTGTTCAAAAAAGATGAATATATTTCCCTAGTAAATGTTGAGGCCAGGACTAGAATTTAAATCTTGACCCTTATTTCAGTTTTTTAAGAAATTCTGATATTTGAGCTAAACAATGTCTACTGACTATTTGATGAACTATTACAATGAAAGACTGAAATTCAGACTAGATTTTTCACTTTCTATTCTGGTGCTCCAGAACTAAAATATGGTATAAGTATACGTGTGTGTGTTGTATCAGTAACAAAAAAAAAAAAAAAAGAAGAAGAAGAAGAAAAACAAAAAAAAGTAAAAGAAAGCTAGGACCAAGAAACAAGTCGAGTTGGGACCAATAGATTATAAAGCTACGACCAAAAGATCTAAATCAAGACTTAAAAAGTAAGATAGAAATGAGTCAACAGCAGCAGCTCAATCTAGGAAAACACCTAGAGTGTAAATGTCAAGAGTGTAAGAACCAGGAGAATAGTGGAGAGTTAGCATGCACACACTGTGAAATGTCAGAGAAAAACATTGAGTGAAAGAAGGTAAGCATTCAGGAACCAAGGAAACACAAACACTACTTTTTTCGGATGAAAGGCTTAATGGTTGGTCAGATTCTATAAATACACAGAGTGCAAAAGGATAAGAAATAAAGAATTCCAGACAAGAGATCAGTAGTTTGAAATACAGAAAAATAGGCAAGGGGCTGGAGTGTGGAAGTCTGGAGTTTTGTTCAGGAACTAAAGTATGAGAAATGACCATGAATCACAAACAACCTGGACACTGAGAAACACTAATGTTCTTGTCCAAAAATGCCTTAGGATATTTACTTTATCTTATTATTATAATTTTACTGGGATTAAGAAAATATTATGGACAGTAACCAGATTAAAGCTTCAGGAGTAAATGAAATCGTTGGCATATCTTTTTGTCATGAAAGAGGGTGAAGAATATAGGATGTCTGTTAGAAGAAAGTATCATAAAGTAATTTGGTGAGTTAAGTATACAATTCAACTCACACGTGCATATTTGAATATTTCAAATTGGGGTCAGGGAGAGGAGCAAATGATTGAATATGAAGTTCCAAAAAGTTAAATTACTATGCTCTTATCCACTTGAACTAATTCCCTTGATGAGTAGTCATTTGACTCATTTATCTCATTGATCCATTGAATTTAGGGGTCATAAATTATGATTGGAGCTCTGGTGGCTCAGTGGTAAAGAGCTGGACTGCTAACCAAGAGGTCAGTGGTTCGAATCCACCAGCTGCTTCTTGGAAATCCTATCGGGCAGTCCTACTCTGTACTATAGGGTCGCTATGAGTTGGAATCGACTCTGTGGCAGCGGGTTTTTTTTTTTTTTTAATTCATGATAAAAACAATAAATCCCCGTAAAGTCATAATCTATTGCCTCAAACTATGAATTTTACAATAAATTTTTATCATTTGCACCTTTCTGGCTTTAAAAAAATGCAGTGATGTAAATATTGATTATATTAATCAATTAAAATGTATTTTTCAGAAATGTCCACTTTCTCTATTTCTATAGGAATCAAATATTCTCTTTCTGTATGTCCATACCTTCAAAACTATAACAAGTTAAATGATGACTTTTTCCTGACTATCTCTATTTTAAAGACTTTCTGAAAATTCCTACATAGACTGGATGGATAAAAGGAATAACTCAATGATATCTGAGTTTGTTTTGTTAGGACTCACCAGCACTTGGGAACTTGAAATTTTCTTTTTTTTCATATTTTTGTTGAGCTATGCAGCGATCATGGCAGGAAACCTTTTCATTGTGGTCACTGTAACTTTTGATTTTCACCTGCACTCTACACCTATGTACTTCCTCCTTGGAAATCTCTCCTTTCTTGATATGATTATTTCCACAATCACAATGCCTAAGATGGTCACAGATTCCCTCAGAGAGAAGAAAACAATTTCCTTATGGGGATGCATGGCTCAGATGTTCTTCCTCCACTTTTTAGGAGGCAGTGAGATGACTCTTCTTGTGGTTATGGCTGTTGATCGGTACTTTGCAATATGCAAACCTCTTCACTACACAACCATCATGAACCGCCGGGTACTCATGGGTTCTGTGCTGCTGTCCTGGGGTGTTGGTTTTGTACACACTATGAGCCAGATGGTTTTTACCATCACCTTGCCTTTCTGTGGCCCCAATGTGGTGGATAATATTTTTTGTGACCTTCCCCTAGTTCTAAAACTTGCTTGCGCTGAGACCTATGTTCTGGAGTTGTTGGTAATTGCTGACAGCGGACTGTTGTCTTTCATCTGCTTTGTACTCTTGCTCATTTCCTACATTGTGATTCTGGTGACCGTCAGATGCCGATCCTCTGGTGGACTCTCCAAGGCTCTGTCCACACTGTCTGCTCATGTCACTGTGGTCACTCTGTTCTTTGGGCCATGTATGTTCATTTATGTTTGGCCATTTAGTAGCTTAGCAGTGGATAAATTTCTTTCTGTATTTTATTCCGTCATCACGCCCTTACTGAACCCTGTTATTTATACTCTTAGGAATCAGGAGATGAAAACAGCTATGACTAGACTCAGGACCCACCATGTCAGCTCCTGACAGAACTTCTAGGGAGGGAACAATCCTGAAGATGAAGATTTTAGTGCAAAGTCTTTGTAAATTATATCTCAAAATAAGTTCATTTTTTTTGTGTGTACAGATTTTTTTAAATATTCATAGTATATATTGAAATTACCATGTTCCACCATTATTTTTGTATGGTTTTAATGAAATAATAATATTCTTAATGGAAATTCAATTCAGTTTGGGGATAATTTTTTAAAATTCTAGTAATCATTAAATAGAAAAACTGGCTCATTAACCATAGCTGGAAACCCAGGTATCCAAGACTAACTTTTCTTAAATAAAGAGAAATCAAATATAAGTTTGCATACTTTTAATTTCAAATTAGAAGTCTTTCAGCTAATTTCTCTAGATGACTAAATTGTGCACAAAATTGTGTAAACTCATCTAAACCTACAGGTAAACACACATACACCCACATTTTTGTGGCTCCTCATGTATAAAAGAGTATAGTATTTAAAGAGATAAGAGGCTAGTTTTTAGGAGTGGAACGATACGTACAGTGAGTGTCATCCACTGACATGAAACACATATTTATTTTATTCTGAAGAAAAAGGGAAATTCCACCTGAGAAAAGTTACAAGTAGCTGAATTCTACCTTCATTCATATTTACATTCATATTTACTCCTATATATCTCTTGAGAATCAAGTAAAATGTATTACTATTGTGCTAATTCTCATGGACAAAGAATAAACGAAGGAGACTATATATTCCAAGCATTCATGTCACAACACATGGTAGAGGAGGGGAGTATTGAAGCTGGTGAAATTTCATTAAGGAAATCAGAAAATTTATGTCCTGATATATAAATTTACATCTCTTGTCCATGGACATTAGAATAAGTAAACTAAAATTCAAAATGCTGTGCTTTTTCCCAAACACCTAGTAACCATTATAAGCTTCTACCCATTTCCTTCATTTTCTCTTAAGAAATATGAATAATATAGTGCCTAGAGGCAAAAGGGTATCTCTAGGAAGTATTTCTAACCATGTGATCAAGACATTTTAGAGGAAAATTTTTATTTTACAAAAATGGATTGAGGCAAATAAGATCTGGGTCCCTAGAGAATGTGGGGCATATCTGCATCTATTGCTTATGAACTATTACTATCATGGGGCTCTGGTAGCACAGTGGTTAAAGAGCTTGGCTGCTAATCAAAGGTCAGCAGTTCAAATCTACCAGCCGCACCTTGGAAATCCTATGGGGAAGTTCTACTCTGTACTATAGGGTCGCTATGAGTTGGAATCTACTTGATGGCAATGGTTTGGATTTTTTATGGTTTATTACAATCATAGAGTTAAATGTAGATACCTATACAACACGTAGCTTTATCAAATTTCTAACATTTTGCCACATTTTTCAGATTCTTTTTTACTAAGTGAATGAAACCACTAAGTGAGTGAGGCTAATAACTGAAGCACTAACTAGAAGCCAAATGCACATTCATGGACTCATGATGCTCATGTAGTGGAAGGGCTTATATATGGTGCCATATTGGTCCTAGGTCATGGCTATGAGCAACACCATCTCATATCCACCAGGACATGAAGTACAAAAATCTAGATGACACATCCCTGGAGTGCTATGGTGTTTTGCCCAGAGTATAGGTCAGAGATTATCTTAGGAATCATTTAGGTAGAAAGACACAAATCAATAAATGAGACATTGGCTAACAGGAAGTGCATTGGGAAATGCAAATGAGAGTCAAAGTCACTGTAAACAAAACGAGGAGGTTTCCCGGAACAATTGTATCATAAAACACTATAGAGAAGGTAAGGAGGAAATGCTGCATTGGTCTAGAGGTAGAAAGTCCCGGGAACACAAATTCAGACATCTCATAGTAATTTGGTTCACATGTTGACTTTGCTTGTTGTTGCCTAAAAGACCAAAAGCAAAGAAATGACAAAAGGAATATATCAGAAATAAACACAGGAGGGCGGGGCCAAAATGGTGGAGTAGTCAGACACTTCCGGTGGTCCCTCTTACAACAAAGACCCAAAAAAGTTAATCAATTACATATGACAATCTAGGAGCTCTGAACATCAAAGGCATGTTGAGGAATCGGACTGGATGGTAGGGAGAGGAAGAGATGGTTTGGAAGCAGAAGGGAGTTGACAGACCTGATCCAGTAAGAACCTGAGCCCTTCAGCCTGGATCAGTTTGGGGTTCACAGTGAGGCAGGCAAGCAGCGGTGCTCAGGAGGCCTTTTCCACACTGGCAGAGACCCAAGGGCAGAGTCTACTCAGCCATCTAGTACCAGTGTGAAACAGCCCTCGATCATCAAAAGATGAGTACTTGCGTCTGGCCTAACATGCAGATCAAAAACACCCCCACTAGGGAAAAAAAAACCTCTCTTCTATTTACCTGCCTGCTCCCTTCTCTACACTGGGTCTGGGAAGGCTTCAGTGATTGCCGAGTCCCCTGGGCCAGAAGTAGGAACCGTCACGTTCCCTGAGCCATTCTCCCAGCCTTGGAGAAGGAACAAATTAACAAACGGGGAAAAATAATCTGCAGACTCCCCTGGACCAGGAACTCAGCATAGGCACAGCTCCTTTGCCCAGTCACAGGCATGAGGGATCCACGAAGTTTAAGTGCCTTTTTCCCTGCATAGACTTATGTGAGTCCATTTCAACAGTATAGGCCCTCATTATCACAGTACAGCAGGGTATATACCTGAAGTCTAACTTCAACTGTTTCAGCTGTGAAGTGGCAGGTTCTTGACATTTGACACTGCTCTGCCCATTAAGTAGAGTCTTCACCTACCCACATCAGGGGCCTGAGGACTGCTGGCTCCACCCATGCCACTTGTGACAGGGGCCCAAGAATAAGAAGTATCCCCCAGTCCTTACAGTCAACGGCACTAGGTGTTCATAGTCCAGCTGCAAAAAGTACCCACCAATGCACTCTAGGGAACAGGTACACACTTTCCTCCCAGACACTTGGGGGCAGCCATTAGACCCCTGCCTTGCCCAGAGTATGTCTCCCTGCTGCAGCTGCATGCCTGTGCCTACACCAATCACTCATGCCTGTCTAGGACTGTAGGTGAGAGCCTGCACCACACACTAGGTGGCCGACAACCTGGACACCTGAGCTGAATCCATACAGGAGGAGTGGTTAGACTACTGACTCCCATACTTAGTGGCAGATCTGGCCACCTGGTGACAGGGTGTTGGAGCTTCAGGGGCACCAGGAATAGGGCTAGCTAACAAGAGCAGCCTATTTGGGCAAATAAAAATAAAACAAAACGAGAAGCTAGATCACAGTAAGCAACCATAAAATAAATAAATATAATAATTTATTGATGGCCCAGAGACAGCAGTCAATATCAAATCACATAAAGAAGCAGACCATGACAGCTTCAGCAAGCTCCCAAAATGAATCTAGAAATTTTCCAGAGGAAGAAAATTTCTTGGAATTACCAGAGGCAGAATGCAAAGTATTAACATACAGAACTCTTCAAGAGATAGGGAAGGAAATTAGTTAAAATGCAGAACATGCGACAGAGGAACTTAAAAAGATCAGAGAAGAGCATAAAGACAAATTTAACAGGCTGCAAGAATCCATAGGGAGACAGCAATCAGAAATCCAGAAGATTAACAATAAAATTTCAGAATTAGATGACTCAATAGAAGTCATAAGAGCAGAATTGAGGCAATGGAAGTCAGGATTAGTGACGTTGAAGATAAAGCACTTGACAACAACTTATCTGAGGAAAAATCAGATAAAAGGATAAAAAAAGAAGAAACCCTACAAATTACATGGGATTCTCTCGAGAGGAATAACCTACAAGTGACTGGAGTACTAGAATGGAGGATGGGGTAACAGAAAATACAGAGAGAATTATTGAAGAAAACTTGTTGGTAGAAAACTTCCCTGATATCATGAAAGATCACAAGATATGTATCCAAGATGCTCTTCGAACCAACATAAGGTAGATTCCAGAAGAAAGTCACCAAAACATAATCAAACTTGCCAAAACCAAGGATAAAAAGAGAATTTTAAGAGCAGCTAGGGATAAATGAAAAGTAATCTACAAAGGAGAGTCAATAAGAATAAGCTTGGACTACCCAGCAGAAACCATTCAGGCAAGAAGGAAATGGGATAACACATATAAAACCTTAAAGGAAAAAAAAATTGCCAGCCAAGAATTACATATCCAGCAAAACTGTCTCTCAAATATTATACTGAAATTAGGGCATTTCCAGAAAAACAGAAGTTTAGGGAATTTGCAAAAACCAAGCCAAAATTACAAGAAATACTAAAGGTAGTCCTCTGGTTAGAAAATCAATAACATCAGACAACAAACCAAGACTAGAACATAGAACACTGCAACCAGATATCATCACAGATAGGGAAGTCAAAGAAATAAATCAAAGCTAAAACACTGAAAATAGCAAAACAGAGATGTCAATATGTAAAAGATGACAACATTAAAACAAAAAAGAGGGACTAAAAGAAGTAGACATAGCTTTTTCATATGGAGAGGATGTCAAGGAAATACAAAGAAATAAAAGACCAGTTTAAACTGAGAAAAATAAGGGTAAATATTAAGGTAACCACAAAGGAAACTAACAATGCTACATGTCAAAATAAAAAGCAAGAAAAATATAAAGACTCAACAAATATAAAATCAACAACAATGAAAAAGATGAAAAGAAAATATGTAAAGAAAAAAGAAACTCAGCACAGAAAATGAAGTGGAACAAAGAAACTGTCAACAACTTACACAAAATGCATCAAAATGGCAGCACTAAACTCGTACCTATCAATAATTACAGTGAATGTAAATAGGCTAAATGCACCAATAAAGAGAAAGAGAGTAGCAGAATGGATTAAAAAAACATGATCTGTCTACAAGAGACACACCTTAAGGACACAAACTAAAACTCAAAGGATAGAAAAAAAATATACCAAGCAAATAACACTGAAAAAAGAGCAAGAGTGGCAATATTAATCTCTGCCAAAATAGACTT